AGAGAGAGAGAGAGAGAAGACGAGTTGAAGCCTGACGGAAGGCTTTTTCCTATTTAAATTTGCACAAACCAGCAGAGCAAAGAATATTCGACTACCTTTTTTGGGATCGTGCCTCTCGGAAATTCGTTACGCATGATAAAAGATTACATCCGACATACGAAACGAGATGCTACATAATTTTGCGAAATTATGTCTTACTGTCTTATGCAGTATCTTTCTTTAACATTACATTTACTACATTTTCTTCTTTTACAAGTACCTCCTTTTCTGTATTATTCCCATGTTACCATAATGTAGAATATGGCGTAATGTAGTATAATGCAATTGGTTCAAATAAGATAGAACAACGATATATTAAATTTTGGGATCAAAGAGTCCTGTACGAGGGCATGCATAAATTATGTGGTACATCTTCTATCCGTGAAATTTACAGAATATTTTGAGTGAGTCAGTTGCATATTTAAAAACATGTTAGAGATGTTTAAAAGTGTTACAGGAAAAGACTTTTTGCTTTCGAATTTTATACTTTCAATAAAGTTAGATATTTCTTTCTTCGATAAAAAAACTTCACCGCAATACTTTTTTAATATGCGGTGGATGTATTTTACGCGAGACAACTTTCGCGCGGGAACTTCCATATCGAAACTTTCATCCGGGAAAATAGATACCGATTTCAATTATCCGAGAACGTTATCGTACCTTGCAACGCGTTGAAAATTGACTTCGGATATAGCAGAAAAATATATCGGCATTCTCTTCTTGCACAATTTTTGTGCAAAAATTTACAATTTTCATTATTTGTTGCATCGCCATGTCGGAAAGACGCTGTTACTTTGCATTTTAGATCGTGGCAAGTAGTTTGCAAAATAGTATCAACAACATCAATGTTTCCCGAAATTATGTCCTCGCATAATATTTGCACACTATCACGGAAATGCAATCTTAGTAATATTATTCACTCGCGAGCTTGCAATGCAAATGTTTTTGGCAATTCTTTGGCAATTCCGTATATCTTTCTATCTATTCGATTTGCTTGTGCGAGGTCATTGTGCGTTTATCGCGTTTGAGGAAGATGCGGAATCAAAATTTATTTCTCGTAAATTGTAGGAGATTGTCTCCGATTGTCTTCTCGCGGTAACTCTGCAAACAACTTTGCAAGTACCTCGTGAGAAATTGCGTGAAAACACTATTGACAAGGAGCCGTCGTTAACCTACAACTCTCTAACGAACTCTTCCGCGTACTGCGTTATTGTACCGCTTCCCAATTACGTTGCTGCCGTTAAGATTTGATAACATACTAACTCCATATTATCATACAAAGTTCTGTCTCATCCAAAGTTCTGTTTTTGAAACATGAAAAGTGCCAAATGAAAAGTCGAGCCAGGAAGAGATTTCCCCGAAAAATAGATGAATGTACAGAAATTTTCTTTTAATTTTTTTTTTTTTTTTTTTTTTTTTTTTTTAACAATTTTGTAACCATAGAAAAATACCTTTCATCTCGTTGACGTAATAATGAGATTGTATCAAATATAGTTTTTATGAAAAAATATTTCTGAAAAACATGGCAATATGATCTCGAGTTTCTCATAAAGATGATTAGTTCGTTACTGCATTTTTAATAAATTCCTATTTTATTTTTTATAATAAATTCTTTAACGAGAATTTTTGGAATAAATCTTAAGAAAAATGAATTTTTACAAAAATTACTGATTCATTTAACGTACCTTTGGTAAAATTATGATTTTCCTACTTTATTTTCAATAATACATTCTTCAAATTTAGAAAAATTTTTTTAGAAAAAGGGAAACCTTTATGATTTTTCCGATAGTTGATAAAAAATTTCTACTTATTAAATTTCCAAGTAATTAAATCTTGTAATAAAAGTTAAAAGTTAAGTTGGAAAATATAAAAATAAGCCTTATTTAGAGAGGACAATAAGGCTTTGTGGCGAACAATAGATTTAATTGTATCTCTCAGCGTTCGCGAAAACCTCTCCGTTTTCTATTAGTTCTAACACAGAGGCTATTGGTATCTCAGCGTTTTCAGGTGAGAAAAAGTCGACGACGAATTGGTTAAAGAAGCTGTCATTAAGATTGAGGGCTTTCGGTACAACTCATACAACATCGTCGACTTGAATCCAACTCGGAATCGTATTGCGCCTATGGGAGTCTTCTTTCCCTCGGCAAGAAGAAGCGCGCGACTCGATGGCTGCAATTTGCAGCGTACATTCAAAGGCACGCCGGCCGGCCACTTGTTCTATTTCAGCAAGACAAGAGCTTGCCGCTCTGCCGTCGTTCGTTCGCCTTTGTTATAATTAGTAAGGCGAGACAGTTCCTCTTTTTAACAACAAGCGATTCTTGTTAACTTGTTAAATA